GTTAGATGGCGATTTTTCTTTGGCTACCTTGTTCGGTGCCAGCAGCCATTCATCAAGAAGAGGGAGGTGAAAACAGACCAAGATGAGACGTTACAACAGAGTCGCCTAAATAGAAGAAGAGGGGACGCAACGTGACTGACTGGACTGCCGAGTCTCAAGCAGATGTATTAGAGCGATCGAAGGCCAACGGTCATCGCCAAATATTCAGCCCAAGATCAATCATCCATCATATACTCACAGCTGCTTCAGACCCCCGTAAATACACCCCAATAGCAATATCAATCACCGTCTATCATGTCCAACAGTAGCTACATCTATGCACTAGTACGCTCTCTCTACGATGAAAGTCAGGAGCACAACGATAGCACGTTAAGTATCAATTACATGTCTTATTACTCCCATGGACTCCAAGAAAGACGGTCCTACTGGCGGAAAACCAAGGCTAAAGCCCCTCTACCCCTATCAATTACATGTCTTTTATTACTCCCATCGAGCGCATTTCTTTTGCTTAGGGATCGTGCACCATACACGACATGAAAGAGTCAGATGGAATTCAGAATTTCCTTTCTCCTCCCTTTCTTTTTCCTTTCCCCTCGTCTTTTGTCCCCCAATAGGTGCTACTCGGCGTACTATACTGTTCGACACGTTTGAATAATAAGAAAGGGAAATTTTCTGGAGAATGGAGAAAAAGTATTTGGTCTAAACCGCGAGAATTGACGATGGAACGCAACTGACTTGGCAACGATGTTCGGTAGTAAGAAAGGAAGTGATTATTCTCAAGTTAACCTTGACGACTTTAGCGATAATAGTAGCAACGACGGGGATGATTTTGTCCGCAGTTCCATTCGAAACCAGCAGGTAAGCTTGATATGCAACGACGACTCGAAATACAAAAGGAATTCAATTGTTTATTATTCATCCATAGGAGCTCATGAAAAAACAAGATGAGGGATTAGATATGCTATCAGAATCTGTCGCTCGCTTAGGAGAGCATGCCATGGGCATATCCGACGAACTGGGCCAGCAAAACCAGGTAAGCTCACTTTGCAGGTGGAAGTGTTCCAATGTAAAACAAAGACTGAGTCTCCGTTTCATTTCTGTCCCGTTTTGGTATCAGATGTTAGATGCAATGGAGACCGATCTTGACACAGCTAGCGAAGAGCTGGATCTGGTGACCAGAAAAACAAATGAACTTATCCGAAGTGCAGGAGGCAAAAAGAATTGTATTCTAATTGCATCTCTTTGCCTCGTTGCGTTGGTACTCTTCTTTTTGCTGCTGTACGTGTGAAGGGGGACCAGTCGACTACATTATACAAAATCGTACACTGAATAAGCTAGCCGTCGCATACATGGACTTGATATCCCCATTCGTTGTATTGTGAATAGAGATAACCTTTGCAAAATGACGTAGGAAGTGTTTGTGTCTCGAAGGAATTGTGCGTTTTCTCAGGTCAGCGCATCGCAGCGCTGATAACTATCTACGTGTCGGATCCATAGATGGTGCTGAAGATAAGATTTTTTAATCCTTAGATCCGTGTCTCGTAGCGTTGGTTTATGACCACCTGTGTGACCGCAAGTCCCATATGATCCATAGCACGACCTGCATCTTCCGATAATACCGTAGAAACATTTCCCACGTGACGAAGTGTTGGTCTTCCATGGGGGCAGTTCCACGGAAATTCGACATCTGCCAAACGAGAAACGATCTTCTTCATTTCTGACTGCGACAGGGCCGTGCCGATCATTATCGAAGATCGGCAAGAACGGGAGGCAAACATGGATATGGCCTTTGGTAGGCGAGCAATCAAGCTGCTTGCTGGATCTTGTTTGCTGCTGGTCATGCTGGCAAACCTAACTGCATTATTACCAAACTTTCCCGAACCGTCAGCCCCCGTTCCTCCATCTCCTGCATCGTAGGCAGCTCCTTCACTCAGCATCGCACACAGAGCCTTGACATCCTCGTGTCCGAATTGGACGTCTTTCCTACCGTTGGGTGCACCACTGTGGGGCAGTGAAGTAAGTAGCAAGCGCCTCCGAATCGGTGCTTTCGGTCGAAATTCAAACTGGAAACCGTTGGCTTCAAAAACATTCATGTGGTCTAGAATGCAGGCTTCCTCGGAAGATGTCAATTCTAGCGCCATGGGCCTCAACAGCCTTTGCTCGCTTATCTTCGTTTCTCTTCGTAGCTTTTCGAAGTTGTACTTCTCGTCGCAAGCATGTTGGTCAAAAATCCAAAGGTTGTCCTCATTACATAGACAAAGGATGAATCCCAAGTTGAACTGACCCACAATTTCCATGCTACCATCTCCAAATTTTGCTTTCGACAAACTCAAAATGTCACCCTCTAGAGACTCGGATATACCACGCTTGCCAATTTGATGTTGGTGCCCTTCAGTCTTCGAATCCTCGCTAGTCTGTCCAGACATTTTACAGGCATCCTTTCGCCGTTTTTTCAGCCGTATTCCTTCGTCCCTTACCTTAATACATATTCCATCCGCGTCTTCAAAGCTTGTCCAATCCAAAGATGTTGAAGACTCCCTGATCGGCATAGCACTGTTTTGATCATTTGCAATTGCAACAGAACTTGAAGACTCCCTGATCGGCATAGCACTGTTATGATCATTTGCAATTGCAACAGAACAGTTTCCTTCTTGAGCCTGTGCTCCAACATGACACATAATCGTCTTGCCATTTTGTGGTGAAGAAGTCTGTCCTATCGTTGAATCTTTTTTTTTCGAGGAAGAGCCCTTTTTCCCACAACTGCCTCTTTGCTTTCGACAATCCGGGGAAAGCTGTTTTTCACAAGTGTCGGTCTTTGTCTGTTGCTCTGGGCACCGCATGAGGATGGAAGGGGGGCTAGCGTTCCCAAACTCTCTCAAGCATGGACGATCACTCGAATCACTAAAGCGGGAATCTTCACAACATGAATCGGAAGGCACGTTGAATTGCGAACTCATGGCTTTTATATCCAGCCGATTCTGATCTGCCCGAAACTTGGATTGTATTTCAGTCCACTTCTGCCTTTCGTAATCGGTAACTCCACTCTTTTGACGGCTGGCCCTAAACTTGTTCATGTCAAACTCTGCCCCCTGAGCTTCACTTGACCGACAATTAGAATGACTTGCTGTTCTGTCGTCTAACGACATTTTGCCTTCGCTTCTCACCGAAGCGCCAGTCGACTTAATTCTACCCGTCAAAACGGCTATGGGTCTGCTTCCTTCCGAAGTTTTTTCTCCTCTCTTGCTAAAAAACTGCGGCTGTTCGCTCCCCACTGCAGCGTCGTATAATTTTTGGTGCTCTTGATCTTTCATTTCCGCCTTCTCTTCATTCCTGTCTCGACGACTTATTTGCGCATAGTCGATGCTGACTAATCCCATTTCATATCTTTGTGGGACATCCCCTTGCGATGTGTCCACAAGATTCTTCTGGGAGCTCATTTCGTCCTGGTGTCCTATCTTTTGTCGTTTCGAACTATTCCGGTCTTCCAGGTCATGCTGCAACTTTGCTTTCGATAGATCATGGACAAAAGCAAACCGACGCTTGTGCTTTTGCCTCTCTTTTTCTACTACATCTTCGTTTCCAGGATGTTGAAGCCTTTTGGCATGAAATTTGCCGTTTACTTGACTAGAATAAAAGTCTGTAACTGCGTGGTGAAGGACATCAAGTATCTGCTGCTCGTTCACCAGCAAGACCTGCTGCTTGTCTGGTGATAAGTTGATGTCAAAAGAACAATTTGGCAGCGTGAGCGAAAGAATACAGGATGGTCTCTTTCTTCCAGAAAACCCGGTCCATAATTTTCGCAACAAAGCTGCAAACTTTGGAAGTTGCACTACCCGTCCATTTATGCAAAAAGTATTGATCGACCGAGCTGGGGGATCGGCGTGAGGATTTCGTGACAGCAATCCTTTTATTCCCCAGTCGTGCAGATTATCTTCTTTGTTGGGAGCCACAATATCTCCCAACTTTACATCAATATTCGCTAGCGATGACAAGAACTTGTGACCCAAAACTGCACTGACATTTTCCTCGAGTGTAGTGCTTGCCGAACTAGTTGCCAGTGCAACATCTTCTCGCCCAGAAATCATATCGATTAGATTAATACCAACCCCGACATTGAAAATAGCGTCTGAAATGCAAAACGGCTGTAAGTCATGTTGCCAAGTTTTATGAGTCATGTTGTCAAGTATTATCCAAGCTTACACGACTCCATTAGCCGGAACAACTTTGATCGCTCTGTTCTGATCCTACGTGCCATGTCAGCGCGTCTAGCAGGTAGGTGAGCAAAGGGTTTGAGCACAGCGACAGTTGTACCAATTTTTCGATGCACAGCTGTGACCGATGATTTATCCAGACTTCCGTCGCGCTGGAATTGCATCTTTTGCGCAATGCCTTCGGACTCAGTCCGAGAAGCCACTGTAAGAGAGATGATTTCAGGTTACAATCTTCAAGCTCAGAGAGTGGAAAACAGAATTGAACGCACCAATTAGTTGGGATGAAAGGCAAGCCATACTAAATAGAGCTTCACCTCTGAATCTGCGGGTCGCATAAACAGAAGCAACAATGACGTTGGTTCCAATCAATGAAAATGACGTAATCAGCCTACGAATCATGCCTTACCCCATAGAAAGACCCGTGCCACTGTATATGTCATCGAAACAATTGATTTTGCTGGTGGCATACCTCGTGGCTAAATGCTCTCGGGATTGCAGAGGAACACCAAAGCCATCATCAGATACCTCAATGATTTCCAAGCCGTGGCCAAAAAGTCGAACCTTTATGGTTTTACTTTCTGCATCAATTGAATTATCCACGAGCCTACACCATATTATCGAGTGATTTAGACATGGCTGGTCATTTTTGGAAGCAACGTCTACAATGATACTTACTCTTTCACAATGCTCGAAAGATCTGTGATCGCCTGTTCTGCAACAATTCTTCGGATGGAATCGTCGTGAAGCTTTTTTATTTCAGCTGTATCATCGTCTTCCTCCATGCTTCAAAAATAACTGCTTCAATTTCGATCAATAGCAATATGAGACATTCCCAGCAAACTGAGTGCTCGGTGATGTGTCTCACCGCAATTTGTCAAAATGTTTTCTCGATGCGTGACTCGTTCGAGCAAAGAAGACAGAAACGCAGTAACCATCACCAGTCTCATCACAAATCATCTCTTTATTCTAATAAGGAAACATAATATGTTTTCAATAAAAACTTTATTTATTGCACTGCTTTGGATGTCGGAAACTGTGATAGCATTCCTTGATCCTGAAGCAACCAGAGTTCTCAAATCAAGCGATCACGGGAGTGCCTTCTTACCTATCCCAGTCTATGCAGCTGAAAAAAAAGACAATGCGGAAGTTCCTGTCAACAAAGGGTTTGCAGCATTCTTCGAATTTCGAAAGAAGAACCAAGAAGTTGACCAGCCACCCGAATCTGAGTCGTCAGAAGGAAGTGGTATCCTGAAGTCTTTTTCGAAATGGAGGGAAGGACGGAAGCTCAAAGACAAAGAAAAGTTGAACGAGATAGGCGACACTCAAAATACTGACAAGAAAAGCATTGGGTGGAAAACTATTGAAAGTCGAAAGGAGAAGGATTCGAAAACCAAAGCAGTTTTTGAACGGGAGAGAATACGAAAATACCAAGCTGAAATCAACGCCGATGGATCTGGCTCAGATAGGATCGCTTCTACCAACAACGTGAGTGAATCGACTCTGACGAAATTCAACCCAGTGAGTGCAGCCCAGAAACTTCTATCAGTAGTTAGCAACAAGCAAAAGTCGTCAAAGGAAGAGTGGATAATAGTCGCATCAAAGACAAGCATTGCTCCTGGAGCGCTCGTTCCAATATCGGCTGCAGGGCTTGATCTTCTTTTGGTAGCCTCAAAAGATGGCTCAGCGCTACACTGTATTGCAAACTCGTGTTCTCATTTGGGCACGCCCTTGGAAATCGGAACACTAGAACGTCGGCCAATTGAGAATACTAATTTCGAACCGAGCAATGACGCAGCGCCATCTAGTTTGCAGGAAAATTATCTTGCAAAGCTTCTTGCTCAAGATGGATGCGAAGATTGCATCATTTGCCCGCTGCATAAGACTGCCTTCGCTTTAGAAAGCGGGGAAGTTAGAGGTGTAAGTTTATGACATGTACTCTCTTTAAAGTCGTCACCATCTCACCTACTGTCATACCAGGAATGGTGTCCATACCCCCCTGTGGTTGGTAAAGTGGTGGGTACAATCAAGCCAAAATCAGCTTTGCCAGTTTTTGATGTAAGAACGAAGGGTAAGAACATAGAAGTGCGAATAAATACACCCATCCGTGTGGACGGTGAATAGCAACAATGTGCGGCTGTTCGGCTATAACTACAAACGACCCTTTGCTATCTATGTTGTTCTAATCAATGTCCGAGCTTTGGGGGGCAAATGCGAATAGGCGATGCTCCTTCATGTATTCCAAAACACTTGGTGACAATGATGTTCGAAGTATTTTGTCATCTTTGCAGGCTCGTATCATGGACGAAGACACATCAGTCAGTGTGTTTACTTCAAGAAGCTTCGCGTCTATGTGCTGTCGCTGATTTAATAACTCGATTTGCTCTTTCGTAATAGCGTTACTTCCCTTTCTAGAGAAAACAACCAACCGCCCTTCAAGAAGCCTCAGCACATCTAAACTCCTTTTCCATTTCAAGGAAGTGAGGTCGGCGAAAGTGTCAGCTCCAAGACAAAAACTGAAATCCGATTCAGGTTCTTCCGCGCGAAGCATTTCCAGCAGCTCGGCAGTCCCAACACGCACATTTCCTTTCTGCGAATCTGACCTGAACTAAACAAATGAGCTCAGACAACGGGGCAGCACCAGGATTCACTATCGGTGACGTACATGAATTCCGTCTTCTGTTCAAACAACATTCTTTCTGCGTCTGAAACTATCACTTTTGAGATGGATCCAAAGGAAACCTGACACATTTTGTACCGATGGTGGTAAGCCTCCATTGCGTTTCGCTTGCTTGAGAAATTGTGTCTGTACACTGGAATCACTCTAATTTCATGAAAGTAATCGAGCTTAGATAAAGCCTTTACAATGCCGGTATGGCCTCCATCCCCTGTGGGTGGATTTGCTGAGGTACCGAATAAACAAACATTGCTTTTGCTTCTCTTCATCTTGACCCGCACTATGTTTGTCATGGTTCTTGTTTTATGTGGAGCGGTTTATACTAGATCCCCCGGGGAGAAAAGAAGGGGAGAGAGGAAGAAGAAAGGAAAAGGAAAGAAAAAAACAAGAGAGAAGAAAAGAGGAGAAGCAATAGGATTGCAATGAAGGGGCTCTACAACACAGTGCTGGTTTCATGCATGGCGTCGCAAAATGACATATGCTATTATAATGGTGTTAACCAGGATTTAGACGGATTTAGAACGAGGTAACAATCCATGAATGTTTGATGTGATAATCGATGCGTCTGAACCGCCTGCAGTATTGAAATGATGTCCAAGCACCTCTAAGCCAATAACAATATCTACTGTCCCTACATATTGAAGAATAGATCGAGATTCGCGATTTTTGTGTCTCGAATACTTCAAGATTGGAAACATGAAAGTGATGTCAGCGTATATAAAGAAGGGTTGCCCTCGGTGTGACCTCACCTCTGTGTACAATGTACCAGGAAGCGCGGAGCGCTGTAGACAGGAATCATAAATCATCCCCCTTTTATTTTGGAGGGAAAACAGGTTCACTGACACGTGCCATAGTTTTCCCTCCACTTTTGTGACACGCGTGCGCTCCACATCATGCAGGGCACGTGCCAATCACATGATAAAGTGTGTCTTCCCGGCAAGACTTGAGACCGTTGACATGCAGACACGATTTCGACAGCAGAACAGGCTGTCTTCCCAGGAAGACACGAGTATTTGCCTGTCTTCCCGCCCTGTCTTCCCGGCAAGACACGATTATTATAAGCTGTCGACATACCTACAGACACTGCCAGCTACATTGGTACGTCTTACAGGCAAGACAATTGCCCTGACAACAATTATGTTGCCAGCAGCAAAGCACACTGCAACAATTGGCTCTATGTGTATTTCACTTGCACTATACCAGTTTGCACCTCTTACTATTGGATCATTTCTACTATGTTAGTCATGAAATCTACTGGTTGACTTACGCATACGGTACTGGTACGGGAACTGTAGGTAGGAACACAAGAGATTCGTTAAGTAGAGTTTCGGTTGCAATTGTGTCGTAGGACAATTGACTCACTGCCACAAGTCAATAAAAATTTCGAACTGATGACAGGAGAGCAAAGTCGATTGACACGTGCAGACAAAAGAGTACACGTGCCAGTGAAATGACCACGCGAGCTGACATGTTCAAGCAAAAGATTCGTTAAGTAGAGCATCAGTCGCTGTGACAATTGACCCACTGCCACAAGTCCCAATTATTTTCAAAACGCCATGTAAACAATGGCCCGTTTGAATTTCGAAAGTCCCTCCACAAAACCATGGCATTGACAAGAATGATATTCAATATTAGATGTGCATGGAAAGACCCAAGAGATTTTATGATTGCGAATGCAAGTGAATTTTGTAAGGTTGAAAAAGAGAATTTGATAGGCTGTAAATTTAAGTGTTACATGACACCTGGAATTTCAACGGCAATGCTGTTTGAATGATGCAGAACTATGAATATGTTTTCTACACGAAGAATTGTGGCGTATAATTTATCTTGCAACGCAAACATACAAAATCACAAATTCAAAACCATTGTGCACACAGACCGTATGTCCATCAATAATACAAGAGAAGCTGATAAATAGAAAACATCTTGAGCATCATTGCCGTCGGAACTGGCATTATCGTCCTCCGCTTTGTAGAACTATTTGTTACCTCCCGTGGCCGTCATAGATTCCTCTTGACCGGACGCAGCAGCATAACATGGTGAACCCTCGCCACCCTGCACAGAAGAACATACATCCGTCTTCTTCAGTTCCGGGTCGACTCTAGCTTCATTTCCGTCGCGAGCGTTGCAATATCATTCCATTATCGTAAAAACTGTGAAAATGAAAAGAAATGCAAACAATCTGACACCTCTCCAAATTGGGAAAGTGCCAATAAGGTGAGCCCTCTCCACCCTGCACAATAGAATCTATATCCGTCTTCTTCAGCTCAGGATCGTCCCCACTCTAGCTTCATTTCCATAGCGAGCGTTGCAATATCATTCCATTGTCATCAAAACTGTGAAAATGAAAAAAAATGAAATAGATCTGACGCCTTTTCAAATTTGGCACGTGCCAAAAGAGGTCCAGTCCGCGAGCTGGGCACGTTGTCCGGAAAGTATGCAGGCTAACGAGAGAGAAGTTGGGGATACTATTGGGGGTAAATGAGTTTGAGGTTAGGTCATACCAAGTGTTTCCCGCAGCCCAATCATGTGTCGACAACAAACCATTTGGAAGGAAGGTGAAACAAGGCATGAAATACTGCTTGACTCTAGCAGCTGATATTATTGCTATGATACTATTGAAATGCTTACTTATGCGAGGCTTGCGAGAACCAGCCAGTATTGGATTCGATAGACAATCGGCGGTGTCCTCAATGGACTCAATATTTAGGGAACCAAGCAAGATGAGTAAGGGCCACCACAAAGCCCGATTTCATCGCAAATAGAGTAAATACATGTTCTACGATTGAAGGCATGCAATAATCAACCGGTTTTCAGTAAGATTCACAGGCAAAAACATAGACAGAAACCTTTCATGGTTCCTTGTTGGCCAAAGCCGCGATAGGAAAGTCTGTTACAGTATAGTCATATATGATGCTTTCAGATTCGGGTATTGTACTGGGACATGCCGAAAAAATCTGTAACTGATTTTTTTGGTCAAAAATGGCACTCCTTCCAGAAGGAAAAAGCGAGCCATTGTCCTTCCGCCAGTGCGAGAAATTGCAAAAGGCCTCAAATATCTGTAAATGGTCGTGTAAACTCAGGAAAAACCTGTAGATAGTCGTGAAAATCGAAAATTCTCTGTAGATAATCGTGATTGTGAACCAATAAATAGTACTTAACAAAGCCACGACCATCTACAGAGAATCTTCGATCTTCACGATTATCTACAGGTTTTTTCTGAGTTTTCACGACCATCTACAGGTTTTTAAGGCCTATT